ATTAATAATAATATAATAATATTACTATATATATATTATATTACAAAAATAAGCTTCTTTTTCAGAACGAAAAGCATCTTACGTTGCTCGTATATGAGAATATTTCGAAGAAATAAAAAAAAATATATGTATAAATACAAAATAAAAGAATCGAATAGAATTCAATCGAATCGAACAAATTTGTTTCAATTGCCTGAAGCAATCCCGTTGAAATAATGATTTACTACGAGCTCTCAAAGAAACTAAAATAACTTCAATGATCGTTTCTCTTTGATATTTTATCGATTTCTTAAAGAAATAAAAAAAAATCGGACAGAAAGAAATTTTCCGTAATATACACAGATATAACCATTTTAATAGTAAAATATAATGCAATAAGAATGCCCAAAGGATGTATCCAAGTGTACGATAGTTGATTTGATTACCTTGGAAAACGACGCACAACTACGTTTAATAACGCGGAACTAGTTCCCAAAGCATCCCTTTCAAGGCTAACTTTCTACCCCGTTAATTACATTTAAGGTCATTGCAGAATTAAATCGTTTATTCGAAATCGAAATGACTAGCCTATATTATCCTACATTTTCTAATTACTTAATATTTCTATCCACGTTTACACATATTATCCATTAAACAAAATAAATATCTGATATTGGTTATCATTATTCTGAAATATATAAAATATACGTATTAAGTTACTATACATAAAAATGTTTAGATGTCAATTTAAACAAAATCAAATATGTGTTTTATTAAATATAAAATTGTTTTAAAAACAACGTGCAATTAAGAAAATTTCTTTTTCGATTTTCGATCGAATGATACCCGTACTCCAATAATATATCTTTCTATTAGTATATATATATAAATATATATAAAGAGAGAAAGAGAAAGAGAGAGAGAGAGAGAGAGAGAAAGATAAAGCATACTAGAGAAGGGATGATTTAGGGTTACCGAGTAGCTCTCAATCTTGATTGATTATGTAAAAGCAATCTCCAACGTGTAATCCAAACCCTGACAAATCACCGTACCATTCGCTACGATTGCCATAACATTCGATTGCCCTAAAACGCATGAACATTCGACATATCCTAGAAATCGGTTAAATTTAAAAGCATTAGAACATTTCGGTGTTGATCAACGTGCTTAGCTATACTTTTTAAGTTTAAATAGAACTTAAATGTTCTACAAATCCATACCCGCATTCGAATCCAACCAATCTTCTTCCTTGCCAAGTTTAACTTTTACCACTACTACTACCAACTTCCTCTCACTCGTAAGAAAATAACAGCAGAGACAAGAATCGTCATCGTTGTCGTCAATGATTTACCGAAAGTTTCTATACGACCATTCTTTCGTACGGTTTATTTATGTTTCTTCTTAACATTATACACATTCTAAAAGTCGTTCTATTGATTTATTATATGAGCGAGTGAATACGATCGATAACAAGGTCGCATGTATTTATGTTTTTATGTAAATGTATAGAGAGAGATAGAAAGAATCATTAAGCGAATGGTTTAACATTTTATTTCAAATTATTATACGTATTTATTTAAATATATTAAATATTGCTTGTAGAAAAAATGATATTATTCCATATGCAAGAAAAGTTTCAAATTTTCCAAGCTTTTAGTTTTTTGGATGCAAAAGTAAATTATATTTTTCCATACATATATGTAGAGTAATCTGAAATTTCTTCAACTTCTTGTAATCATATACTGTGAAATAAAATTAATTTAAAAATTGTCCATTTTGTAAAACCATGAAAAATC